CGGGAGCGGCCGGGGCTGCGCCCCCTGCTGGCCGGGAGGAGTCGGCTCACCCGGGCCAGCGGGTTAACTTCAGCCCCTTTCCCTACCGGAGAACCAGCAAACCCAGACCAGCTGCACTTACAAATGTCAAAAATGTAAACCTGTAGTATAATCGGTGCAAAGGAGCGTGCGACATTTCCGGTGGGCAATTTGGCGCCCTTTATCAGATGCAAAATGCGCAGGACCCTTACTTGCAGCAACCCTCCCGCGTAGGTTCCCTGTGGATCGGCGAGGACCCGGCTCTAAGGTTTGTTATTCAGAACACTCGGTCCGAAACCGTGGACAAGCACGACCGCCTTTAAGTAAAGGTGCTTATGTTCAGGCATATGTTCTGATTTCTACATTTTTATTTTTATTAATCCCTGTTTGCGGAACCTAAGGATCGCATTCATCGTGCGAGTTGGCACATCCGATTCTTTCACGTCCCCTTACCTTTTCTCCTCCCCACCTCCATAACTTGGTTGTCCTTCCCATTTGCAAAAGATCCATCTCCCCATATAATGACTTTATTGTTTTTTAAGGCATCCAAGAAGCAATTATAAACATCTCGGATGAAGTAATTCTAGGAGCAGAAAATGAGGCTTTCTTCCATGATTTAGCCTTATATGTGCACAGTAGAACTTCTGTCATAAGGCAGTGAGAGGAGGTTGAGTTTGAAGACTGCCTGGCTTGAGTTCCTAGCTAGTAGGTAGTCGTTCACTGGGTCAGGGTGAGGGATCGGAGTCCATTTTCGTTCCAGTTAGACTGCAGCGCCACCTGGTGAAAGGTGTCGCTTACAGCTTAACTATTCATGGGGCTGAATCGGAGCCTCTCTTTTCTATTTATCAGTATTTTGAAACATGTGTGCTTTGCTTTTTTGGTCTTTTGAGACAGAGTCTCGCTAGTCTGTAGTCAAAGATGACCTTGAACTCACTGGGTAGCTCAGGCTGACCTTGAATTTGCAGTGATCGTCCTGCCTCAGCCTCCCAACTGATGGGATTACAGGTGTGTGTCGCTATGCCTGGCTTAAAATATGTATGTTTGTAATTAATCATGTGTTCATTACGTGAGCACCTGCTGTGATAAAGAACTGTATTCGGCATGGACCTCTGGGCGCCCTCCTTGTCTTGTTCACCTTTTATAACCAGAAGATTAGATAAAGCCTGGCACATATCATGGCTTGGCAAGCACTTGTAGAACGAATGAGGGACGCCGGATGCCGGAAGGACCTAACTAGAATCAAGATAAATAAACAAGTGAGATTACTCAAGCCCGGAGTGAAAATGGCACAGGAGAATATAAAGAAAATGTGACAGGGTTTTAAAGAGGAAGAAGCCACATGTAATTGGAAAGATCTAAGATAACCTTGCTAATGTTGAAGGGTATTTAGAATCTTTACAAGTAGAGAGGTGAGAGGGGTATTGCCGGCAGAGAAAAAAACATGAGCAAGGGGATGTGTTAAAGGAGAAGCGGCTGGGCGTGGTGGCGAGTGTCTGTAATCCCAGCACTCTGGGAGGCTGAGGCAGGACAACTCAAGCTTGAGGCCAGCCTGGTTACATAGTGAGTCCAAGGTTTTCTTCGAATGCACAGCAACACCTTGTCTCACTAAAACTAAAGAAAGAGAAGCAATCAGAAGAAGCAAGTGTTTCACAATCCAGCCTGGGAAAATGATATGGCCACATTTCCAGGGGTAAAAATCATACAAGTGATGAGAAGTGACGAAGTATAGAAGCTGTGGTACCAGAAGCTACACGTGCAGACTTACTCCCCAGACGTCACTGTATTCTTCATCACCTAAACACCATCCTCCAAACAATTCAGGAGAACAATGTATTACATTACATTGTATTACATTACATGAGGCATTATAAGTGATCTAGAGATGATTTAAAGAACCCAGGTATGTGCCTACATCTATATGCAAAGACTATGCCACTTTTATAAGGTTATCAATAGATGTCAGCACCCACCAGGAGTCCTGGACCCCCTCCTGTGCAGATAGCAAGAGATAATTATATAGAAAACACAAAGCCAGGCATGGTGGTATACTCCTGTAATCCCAGTGCTTGGTAGGCTGAAGCAGGAGGATTTCTTGTTCAAGGCCAGCCTGGATTACTTAACGAGATGCTGCATCCAAAAAAAAAAAAAAAAAAAAAAAAACTTAAATAGAAATTAAAAAGCAAGTTTGAGTTATAAAGAATTTTAGGACTTCCAAAAATAAAAAACGTATTTGCTAAAATTTAACACTCAAATAGATGAAAGCAAGTCACTCCAGGTGAGTGTCTTTATGAGGTATGATTAAAAAATACAATGAATGCTGTTGCCAAGGGACGTCCCACAGAAAGGCAGGCTCATAAAAACGTGACACTGGGTCCTCTTCCCCCTTATTCACCGGATCTGGCACCGTGAGACTTCTGGCTCCTCCTCAAAGTAAAAACAACCACAAAAGGTCATTCTGAGTGGATTCAGGACACTGAGGCAGCCAGGAAAGGGCACTGAAGACGCTCACAAAAGTGCAATGAGAGCTGCTTCAGAACGTGGCAAGGGTGACGGGACGAGTGTGTTCCAAGCCGGGGGGCCGGGGGTATTCATGGCAGCGGGTCTTTTACACATTTTTAAAACTTAAACATTCTCACCCCATACAATAAGAGATTCTAAAGAGCTTCATGCTTGCAACTATTTCTCAAGTGGTCTAGAAAACAACAAATGCGGCTTTTATTGGAATAATTTTTTTTTTTAATTTGAGCTTTCCTCTGTATTTTTCACCGCACCTCCTAGTGGGTCCTCCATAAAAGACAGGGAGGAAGAATGAATGAATAAAGGAGAGATCAAAAAAGAAAAATGAAACAAAAAATAAAAAGGACCTAAGCCAAATACCATGAACTACAGCACAGAAACACTGATGTCACTGACATTCTCTTAAAAGAAAGCAAGAGTCAGCTTTTGTTCGTTTTGAGAATGGCTTTCAGTTCTACTGCCCAAGCTGGTCTCAAACTCCCAGGCTCCAGTGATCCACCTGCCTCAGCCTCCTGAGAAGCTGGGACCACAGGCAGTGCCAGCCCCATTCCTGAGGAAGCATCAGCGCCTGAGAAGTTCCTGAGCACACAGTTTGTAGGCTGGGAACGCTCATCCTGTCTGAACCAAGCACTCCTGGGGCTCTGAGTTCCAGCCCCAAACTCCCCGCAGTAACCCCTGGTAGGCCACTGTGCTTTGGGGACGACAGTGAGGGTAGCAGCGCCTTTCCAGGGGGGAGGAGCGGAGTCCCAGAGAGGGAGGAGCCACTTGGCATGGAGGGGAAATTCCCACTGAGAAGCCCCACCCCACGGATCCCAGGGTGGGATTCCGGGTTCCTGGCTCCCGTGATCTGAACACAGCCTGGATTCCATTCTCCTTGGAATGTTAGCATTTAAAAAATTTGATTTTAAACTCTGCTGTTCCTCTGGCTTGTGGCCCTGGCAACCAGGCTGGAGGCAAGAAGGGGCGGTGGGAAAAAGGTGAAGTTGTTTGCTGCCGTTTGCATCCTGAGCGGGGCCGTCAGGACACCCCGGTTCTGTATGGGTGCGCGTGTCCCGCGGTCACCCAGAAAAGCAGGCGCAGTTCCTGTGGGCAAAGCCACACCGGGAATCCCGCTGGCAGGCGGCTCCTGTCTCCTGCCGGTGGGGACAGGGGCTGCTCACGGGCCGTGGCCGCCTCATCTCCGCTGCTGCTCGCCGGGGTCCTGGGTGTGACCGGCAGGGACGTCCTCTGCGGCCCGGGATCTGCCTTCCAGCACCCGGCGGAGCCTCTGCATCCCTGGGAAGGGAGTGGCGCCGCTGTCAGCCCTGGTGGCTGTGGGGGTGAAGGACGCTGCCCCGAGGGGACGGGGAGGCGGCGGCTCACCCAGGCGGAGCCGGTGGGCGCTGTCTGAGAAGACCACGCGGAACCAGCCGGGCTCCCGGCTCCCGAAGGCCTTGCCGCAGGACAGCAGCACCTTGCTGTCCAAGAAGCTGCGCCACAGCTGCGTTTCCTCCTCAAAGGTGCCCCGGGGGAGATACTGGGGGTGCGGGTGGGGGGGGCTCAGGACACAGCAGGGACCCCCGCTGCCCTCACCGGGAGGACGCTCCGCCCCGACCCCGCCTGCATTACCTTCCTCAGGTCCACCCAGAGGAAGAAGCCTGCGCCCCCTCTCAGGAAGGGGACCCCCAGGGCCCGGAGCTCTTCCGAGACATAGGCGTGGGCTGCCTTCAGCCGGGCGTGGTTCTCTGGCAGGTACACTCGGTCAATCCAGTCTGGGGGAGACAAGCTGAAAGATAAGTCCCCCCAACCTCCGCTCCTCTGCCAGTCTACATGCTGGAAAGACCCCAGGAGTCCAGCCTGTAGTCCCAGAGTGGGGCCTCGGACAGGCTGGGAATTCAGTGCTCGGGTCTCACTATGTAGCCCAGGCTGGCCTCAAACTCGAAGTGATCCTCCTGCCTCAGCCTCCCAAGTGCTGTGATCACAGGTGTGTGCCACCACACCCAGCCCACCGGAAGTTCTCATGTGACCGCCCGGTCGTATCTAGGGGTAGGGTTGTGCTTGGTGAGTGTGCATTTAACTTCCTAAGGAGTTGTTGGTGTTTTGCCAAGTGGCCGAACCATCTTCCTTCCCCGCCAGGGAAGTGCATGCCAGCTGCTTTGCCTTCTTGTCAACACTTGATGTCTGCTCCCCCCTTTTTTTTTGTACCAGGGATCGAACCACTGAGCTAAATCCCCAGCCCATGTCGTCTCTATTTTATAACAATTTTTAGTGGGTGTGTATCTGGTCATGTTCCCTATCTGTAAAATAATGGGAATGTAGCAAATCTTGCTTCCCAGCATCCTGGGGAGGGTGGAGTGAGATGAGTCAGTGAGAGCTCAGTGAGCGGTGACTAGAACTGTTGAGTTCTGCACCGTCTGAGTCTGGGAGAGGCACAGATCTCACTGGGAGACGATGTCCATTATAATAATGCTTACTTAGTGACATGTTTTTTTTTTTTCAGTCCTCACAGCTAATAGTAATGAGTTTGCATTTCTTTTCTTAAACAGAATCATACTATGTTGGTCAGACTGTTCTGGAAGCCCTGGGTTCAAGCGATTCTCCTGTCTCCACCTCCGAAGTAGCTGGGACTCCTGGGACTGAGCATGTGCTATTCTGTGCCAGCGGCTCCGCTAACTGAATTACAAATCCCACTCAGCCTACCCGACAGGCACCATTATGTTTTGCAGATGAGGAAACGGAAGCACGGGGAGGTGAGGTAACGTCCTACACAGCCAGGAAGTGACCAGGTAGAGTGTGAGCCGGTCTCAGGCACCCCCAAGAGTCTTCTCATGGAAGAAGCCACCCTCCTGGCTGGCTGGTCCCAGGCAGACCACTCCTCCTCCCCTCTTCCAGGTCCCAGCCCGGCAGTCACCATGGTCTCGAAGCAGCTGGGCCATCTGGTACTGCAGCAGGCCGCTGACACCGTGATAGGGGCAGAGGGCAGCTACAGCAGTGGCCACGTCTCTGTTCTCTGTGTACAGCGTGCTGAAGCGGAGCCCAGACATCCCAAAGTCCTGCAAGAGGGAGCGCCCCAGGCCGTGGCCGGCTGGTTCCACCCTGCCTGCTTCCCCCTCTCTGCGGCCCCACACCAGGACTCACCTTGCTGGTGGACCACATCACGTGGGTCCTCTGGGGGTCAGGCAGCCTGCGGAGAGCACAGCGTGGGACGGAAGTAGCACCGAACCAAGCGGACACACACATGCGATTCTACCAGGAGGTGGGTGGATGAATCCATCTGGCTCAGGCCGTTCCCACCTCTTGCAACCACCAAACCCCACGTATCCTTAAGAGCAGGAAGCAGCAAACAATTGCCCCAGACCACATCCAGTCTGCTGCCTGCTTTTATAACCAGAACGCAGATGCGCGGTGGTCCTTAGCGTCTATGGCAGCGTTGAGTGAGAGGCTACATGGTAAAGCCTGAAATATTTATCATCTGGCCCTTTATAAAGTTTTCTATTCCCTGATGATCAACATAGCCAGTGTCACTTCTTCCAAAGACCTCCCTGGCCAGTCCCAGGAGACCATGCCGATCAGGCACCCTGTTAGGGTTTACATTTAGATGTGCTTATAGCAAGACTTTGCAAGGGCAACGGAAACATGGCAGCACTACAGCTAGACATGTTAGGGGGTAGGGTCTGGCCGGAAGAGGCGGTTGCTAGGGGGCGTGGCTTGGCTGGGTCTCTCTCCCTCCCAGCTCCTCCCTTCTCTCTTTGCTTCCGGTTCCTGGTTACCACGCCGGAAGCAGCTCTCCTCCGCCAGGCCCTTCTGCTATGCCGCCCTGCTCTGGAGTCAGCTGACTCTGGACTGAAACGTGAGCCAAAGATAAGCCTCTCCTCCGAAGGCCTCTGTCTTTCCTGTTCACTGCTTTGTTCCCAGGACCAAGCGCAGTGTCTGGCATAGAAGGGATGGTCCTTAAATAATTTTCCATGACTGCTAACCATGGATCATAGACAAGTCACTACTTTCTCTGCGTCCCACCTGCCTCGTGCACATGAGAGTGACACTGCACACCTACTCTACAGAGCTTCATGAGGCTGGAAGATGGAGCCAACAGAAAGGACACCATAGGGTGGAGAAGGTCAAATCTACAGACCTCGCCAATGATCTGATGCAAGTGTTTCCAAAGGCTACAAATTCTGTGCTTAAACCCAGTCCAACACAAATCTTATTATTGTTGTTATTATTGGCAATACTGGGGATTGAACCTAGGGCATCCGCACTGAACTACATCCCCAGCAAACACAGCCCCCCTTTTTGAGACAAGGTAAAGTAGCCCAGGCTGGATTTCCACTTGCAATCCTCCTGCCTCAGCCTCTCAGAGTGCTGGGATGACAGGTGTGCACCACCTGGCCCAGATGAAAAGCTCAATGTAAATAAAATCTGAACATCCTGCTCCTTGGGGGATCTGGGGCAGAATTCAGCACAGGGAGGCCAGGGCAATGAGGAATGGGACCTGCAGGGCCCTCTGCAGCAGAAGCCTCACCTCTCCAGGCTCAGGATACTGTGGTACCCAAGCGACTCCTCGAACACAGACAACATGTAGACCTCATCCACGATCACGTGCAGCTTGTGCCTGGGTGCGCAGGGGGGAGTTCAATTTGAAGGACACCCATGCCCCAGGGTGTGACAGCACAGGACAGTGGTGTGTCAGAACCCCCAAGGGACCAGGGTCTAGACCAGGGAGACACACCTGTGTTTGCCAGGAACACCCCTCTTTTGTCTATTTTGCAAACAAACAGAATGCCACCCAGGCAAAGTAGGGGACAGTGGGGCTTTGGAAGGGCACAAATATTTAGGTAACTGGGCTCAAGCCAGCCCCAGCCCTGACTTGACTACTCTAAGGCTCCACCCACTGGGGTAATAATGGTGTCTACTCCTGACAGGGCGGTTCGAGGATGACAAGAGATGTAGCATATAAAGTGCTCAGCATGGCACCAGGCCCTACAGTGTGCAATCAATGATAGCACAGCTGTAATCTCAGCACTCTGGGAGGCTGAGGCAGGAGAATCACTGCAAATTCAAGGCCAGCCTAGGTTACAAAGTGAGACACTCAAAAAACCAAACCAAAACAAACAAACAAAAAAGACAGCTGTTACCATAAAATAGAAGAGAGAGAAAAAGTAAAACAGCAACTCACAAATCCCTACTTCCCACCTCACTGCCACAAAGAAGCCAAGGCAGCTGAATGGGGTGAAGAGGGCTTACGGGCTGGTACCAGAGCCCTGAGCTGCCTGTATGCTTTTGTGGGGACAGGGGCACTCACCTCTTGGCAAATCCCAGGAAGTCCTGCATCTCTCCTGGGGAGTAGATGTTGCCCAGGGGGTTCTGGGGGTTGATGAGGATGAGGCCTTTGACTTTCACACCCTGAAACCATCCATGGGCAGAAACCCTCAGCCCCTCTCCAAGGCCAGAGCGGCACAGTGTCGTCCCCTGCCCATAGGGCTCATCAGTGGGCGGCTCCCCGGGACACACTCAGGGGACACAAATGAGCAGGACACAGACCTCCATCGACGGCTGTGCGTGCCCCAGTACCAGCCAGAAGAGCCGGCGTGATCAGAAGGATGGAAGGGGTCTGCACTCTCTAATTCCTACCGGCTCAGCCACCAAGATGAAATAAACTAAGCAGACAGATGGGAAGGCCCAGGAAGGGGTCCCTGGAGCATGGGTGTCTGCCTTTCATGGGAGGCCCCAGGTCCCCTCCAAGTAGGCAGGCCACCCCTCATTTACCAGGGAGACTCTAAGCTAAGCCCCAGCCTCTTTTGGGACACATTTGAGCTCTGGAGTGGAATCAGAGGACACGGGAGAGGGCATTTCAATGAAGCCGCAGTTGATTCTCTCTGCGCTGAGGTTTGAGGGCCTTTTTCTAATGAGAAGACACCTCCTCCAACCCCACCCTGGCCCTGCACTTCTCCCCCACCCATGTGTCTCCCATCACAGGCCACCAACCCAGCTCCCAGGCAGAGATCAGCCACACAGCAGAAGAGGGGTACATGCCCTGTGTAGACCCCACACACCCCCAGCCCTGGTTTCAGGGGGACCTCAGACCTCCGATTCAACCCCTTGCAGGGCCAACTCCAGTTTCTCCACGGTGAGCTGGAAGGGGCGGGTGTCTGGACCAGTGACCTGGAAGAGACCGTCAGAGCTACCAGGCATTCAGTGACCCCTGAAGCTGTGCTCTCAGAACCCTGGTCCCTTGTGACCGCCAGGCTCTGGAAAATGGGTGGGATTGCTCCGTCTCCCTGCCATCCACCCCCACCCAGCCTCATCATGTAGGGGTCCTCAAATTGAGTCCCAGGATTCCAGGATTTTCAATGCTCTGCCCCCTTCTACCCTTTTGGGGGTGCGGGTTGAGACAGGGTCTCACTATGTAGTTGAGACTGCCCTGGAACTCACTATGTAGCCCAGGCTGGTCTCAAACTCACAGCGATCCTCCTGCCTCAGCCTTCCAAGTGCTGGGATTACAGGTGTGTGCCACCATACCCGGCACCCCTTCCACCCTCATTTCTGGGGATGCTCTGTGGCTTCTACCTGGAGCCCAAGAATCTCAGAGCCTAGAGCTTGGAAGGCTCCAGGGACCCAGGCACAGGCTGCCATATGATAACAGAAAGTTCCCCACTCTCTCTGCACTGACACTCTAGGGCCCTTGGCATGCACTTTCTTCCATGCCACCCACACATTCAGGCCCAGGGACTTGGCCTACAGGGAGGCCACCCGGATGCAGACGCTCTTACCGCACTGTCCAGGTACACATAGGCCAGTCGGACGTTGCCATAGAGATAGACGTGCTGTGTGATGGCTCCATAGTAAGGGGTGGGGACCAGGAAGGCCTCTGGGGAAGGAGCATGCGGGGCCTGTCATCCCTGGCAGGGACACCCCAGACTCTGTGCATAGGCCCTGGTGCACCTAGGGCTTGCCCCACTCCCAACTCCCAAAATGCTAAAGCCTGATCCAAGGAGATCAGTCCCTTTCCTAACACAGATGCTCCTTCACTTACAACAGGGCTATGTCCAGATAAGCCTATGATAAACTGAAAATATAATTAAATAAAAAATGCACTTAATCGTTACTAGGCGTGGTCACACACAACTGAAGTCCCAGCACTGGGGAGACTGAGGCAGGAGGATCACTGTGAGTTCCAAGGTCAGCCTGGACCATACAGCGAGACCCTGACTCAAAAAACTTGAATGAATCAATGCATCATTTTTTAAAAATGCATTTAATCCACCCAGCCTATGGAGCACAATGTCCCAGCCACATCGTGTCCTATGGAGCAGTGACTACCCTCATGAAGGTGTGGCTGAGTGTAACACACAGCTCACTGCCACTGCTCTGCCACAAAAAAATAGCACAGCATGTACTCGGGCAGGAAAAAGACCAACTCAAAAAAGTACAGTTACTACTTACTACGTCAAAGTACAATCCTAAGTCAAAGCACCACTAGTTGGGGACGTCTATAATCAACAGGTAACATTTCCTCGGTGTGGGAACCATACTAGCCATTTATCGGCATCTTGTCTGTTCCCCACTTCTTCTGTCTGAGGTGTGCACCTCTGAAATGCTAACTTTCAGAGTCTGAACTGAAACTCAGAGGATCCCTGCTCCAGATTGTTCTAGAACGGGTAGGAACCTGTCTATGAAATCTCAGAATAGATCTTTTGCAGTGCAAATTCCAAAGATAATCTCTCTTCGTGACTTTGAAGAGTTACACAACTTCAAGTTATACAACTTGTGAGAAGTCACACAACTGGACCTCAACTGCTTTGACAATAAAAATGGGGACAGTTATATAGATCCATTCTCCTAAGGCGCCGAGAGTGTTAAATGATGTCCTGTGTGCACAGCCCTTTGCCAAGGCCTGAGCTAGTACCACAATGGTCGGTTGATGTTACTCATATTTACCATTATTAGTTAAGCTATCATGAGTGGGCCTCTGTTCCTTACAACCAGTAACCCTTCACTATCACCAGTTCTCATACCACTATGGCTTGTTTTTGTTTTGTGTTACTAGGGACTGAACCCAAGGCCTTTCTACTGAGCTACATCCCCAGCCCTTTTTAAAATTTTTACCTTGAGACAGGGTCTCACTGAGTTGCTAAATTGCCTGGGCAGGGCTCAAACTTAAAATCTTCCTACCTCAGCCTCCCAGGGTGCTGGGATCACAGGCCAGTGCCACCATGCCTGGCTCACCACGGCTCTTGGAGCAGGCCCTGCTGGCTGTCTACTCAACAGCTATTTGATTTTCTTCCTTGCTAAGAGCAAACCAGAGTTTTTGGGAAGGAGCAGCAGGAAGGTAGGCCTTCCTCCAGCTGTGAGAGGTGAACCATGTTTGGTTTGAGCCAGCCCTGGCTTTGCAGACCCTTGGATCTGACGACTGCACTGGGAATGGGTTTGTGAGTCATTTCTAGGAAGGAGAGAAGGCCCAGAATGCTAGCAGCACACTAACCCCCTGGGACTGCTGCCCAGCCCTTCATCTCAGGACTCAAGTCTTGGATCTCCTATTACAGCCAAAAGCAAAGGCACACAGCCCTGGAGACCAGGCAGCTGGGGACACTGCCAGCACTGCCACTGCAGTGGCAGGACAGAGCAGGCCTTGAAGTCACTTACCCCCTACCTCGCACAGCACTGTGGCCAGAGCCAAGAAGAGAGAGGCACAGCCGTTCAGGACAACCACCTGGGTGACGGTCAGGGGACAAAGGTGACTGTTTCAACAGGGAGGAAGGACCCACAGCCTCTGTCCCAGGACAGCACAGAAGGAGAAGCAGGTCCCTCCTCAGTGCCCCCGGGCTCAGTCTCCACAAAGCCCTGATCTCCAGCCAAGCTCATTGATGGAGACCCTGCTGGGGCTCAACCAAGCAAGACCCAGGGAGCCAGTCACTCCTAAGGACAGAGGTGAGGGCCCAGAAGGGGCCCCACACAGCATGGGGGCAGAAATCACAGCCCCGCTCTAAGTCTAGCTTGGAGGAAGCAGCCCCAAGGAATCCTCAGGCCACTTGGAAACAAATCAAGGTGAGTGCAGAACCGACCCCGATCCCACCACTGTCCTGGCCAGCCCAAAACTGGGAAGCAGGGCAGAGGAGCAGAGGAGGGGCTACTCACATTCTCTGCTTTGAGCGGGGCCAGGCTCTTGCAGTAATAAGACAGAAACTTGGCCACTTCCTCCCGGAGGCTGGAAGAGATGGACAGTGCTTGCAGAGGGTCCCCACCCCTCAGTCCACCCCAGAGCTGCCCTGCGTTGCTCCTCCCTGTCTCCCTCATGGGGAGCACGGTCAGGACCTGTCTTCACTTGGGGCACCCCTTCCCTCACATCCCTACTATTCTGAGTCCACCCACCCCCCACACTTATGTGCTCACGTGGGACTTTCAGCAGGTAAGGAAGTCAGGGGGGCGCTGTACTCACGGTGGATTCACCACAGATGAGCTCATTTCTGTGCTGTTAGGAGGCGGGACCTGGTCCCTGGGGTCCACCTCCCTCCCAGGCTCCTCCCTTCTCTCTCTGATTCCTGGCCACCATGAGGTAAGCAGCTTTCCTCCTCAGGGTCCTTCTTCCACGCCTTCCTCTCTTGGAGCCAGATGACCATGAGCTCCAGTAAACCTCTCCTCTAAGTCGTGAGTGTCAGTATTTTGTCTCAGGGATGAGAAACCCCATGATCTGATGCCGTAGTTCCATTCTCAGTGGCTCTATGACACTCAACCCTGCCTAATCCAGGGGCTTTGGGGGTATCAAATGTAACAGCACTCTTACATCATGTGCAAACCTTTAGTCTCAGCACTCAGGAGGCTGAGGCAGGAGGACTGTGTTTGAAGCCAGCCTAGACTACATGGTGAGTTCAATGGCAGCCTGAGCTACACAGTGAGACTCTCTCATAAAACAAAACAAAACAAAACAAAACGAAAGTAACACTAGATGTAGATTTGGCTAATGATAACAATAAACATTATTATTTAGTAGTAACATCATAATTTTTTTTTTTTTTTTGGTACTGGGGATCGAACTCAGACCTTGAGCTTGTGAGGCAGGCGGTGGAACCACTGAGCTAAATCCCAGGCCCTCATTATCATAATTCTTATTGCTAGCATTTATTAGACATTTACCTTACAAAGATGTCATCCTGAGAATGCTATACTGTGACTACTATTGTTTTAATTCCATTTCAGATAAAGAAACTGAGGTTTGAAAGAATGAAGTGACTTGCTGCTGGTAAGTGGACAGATGAGTCTATGCCCAAGCCCAGTGTTTTGAGAATCGTAAAGTTAAGCGAAAAAAATCAGACACCCAAGCCTCAATATCACATGGTTTCTCATACACAAGAAGCCCAAAGTATAAATAAAGAGCAAAATAAAGATAAATAGATCTTTAGCAAAAGGAAAGACAACCAAGAAATGGAGAAAGGGGATGAAAAAAGAACTAAGATGTGTGAGGTACGCATGCCAATGACTCTCCACGAAGCGTGGGGCCGCTCTGTAGTGTACCACAAATGTGCCGATAAACAAAACTACAAAGACAGAGTCTCGGGGTTGGGGCCAAGTCCTGCTGGGCCACACAGCCTTGCTTAGAGCAGCTCGCAGCCAGTGAGTGCTCACCCGGTCCACACCAGGACTAGGATCGTCACCACCTGCCTTTAACAGGAAGAACCACCCAGCCGGACCGGCACCGACTGCGGCTTCTCTAGAACCCCGAGGGAGCAGGGACAAGCTCCTTGCCAGATGCTCTCCCAGGCCTCAGTGCTGGGGTCTGGGAAGTCAAGGTGGGTCTCTGAGATGAGGCTGGGACAGGCAGAGGACCCACGGCCACCAGGTCTCCGAGGCTGGGCCTTCAGCTGGGCAGTGCTCTGTCCCGGGCACTGTACATCCAGCAGTGCCCCTGGCTCTGCCTGCTGAGACCACAGCATCTTCTCAGGGTGGACAATCCAAAGGCGTCCACGCATGGCCTTCATCCCCAGGGCAGCAAAACCACCCCAGCTGAGAGCCCCGGCGTAGGGCAGCTACTTACAAGGGATGTCCCCTCCAGTCGGGGTACTGCAGCAGGGCCGGCTGCACCTGCAGCATGTCGCTCTGACTCAGCTGCGGACAGGGAGGCAAGAGCGGGGCTTGGGGCTGGTACTGCTGTCTGCATCCACACAGCTCCCAGGCAGATGAGGAAACTGAGGCTCAAAAAAAAAGTGAAGGACTCTGCCAAGATCACACAGTTAGCAAATCTAAAACCCAGGTGTTTGGAGGTTTGGTTTGGTTTTTGTTTTTTGGTGACTAAGGGCATTGAACGCAAGGCCTTTGTATTGAGCTACATACATCCTCAGCCCTCTTCCTTCTCTCTCTCTCTCTCTCTCTCTCTCTCTTTTTCTCTCTCTCTCTTTCTTTCTTTCTTTCTTTCTTTCTTCCTTTCTTTCTTGAGACAAGGTGTTGTTAAGTCACTGAGTTGCTCAAAACTGGGCTCAAACTTGCCATCCTCCTGCCTCAGCCTCCCACAGGGCTGGGATTACAGTTGTGCACACCCAGAACTTTCAATAGCAGGTCCAATGCTCTTCATAGGACTCTATCACCTAGAAGGTCAGAGGGATGGCAGTGCTGCTGGATCGGCCTACTCAGATTCTCTTGGGGGTCAGAATTGGCTGCTGTCACCTCAGTTTGGGCTCCAGCTTCCAGAGGAGCTCAGGACACTGTCCTCCTGCAGGCTTGGTTCAACCCTACACCCTGGCAAAGGCAGCAGCTTCCAGACCCTTCTCCTTTGGAAAGACGTCCCTTGGAGTTGAACCCAGCTCCAGCACTGCAGCCTTGAGAAACAGCCACCTGCCCCAGAAACCTAATTATGGAATCATCAGGAAGTTTGCAAGGTGTGCTGGAAACAACCGTTTTTAAAAATTAATACAAACTGACAACTAAGTAAGCTATCTCAAAAGCAAAGGGCCTAGCATGCAAACTTCACCACTTCCCGCGTGTTACCCCACTGCACGAGGAGCAGGGCTCCCGAGGTCACGTCTGTCTGCGTGGCAGCCTGTTGGGATACCACACAACTGTGCCGTGCCCCTCTCTCCCAGCCCTGTCACACGGAGAGGTCAGCATGGGTAGCTTGGCATTCACAGTATGGGAACCGGCAAAGCTACGACTGAGGCTTGCGGCTCCTGTGGAGGCAGCTGTTAAATACACACAGCACCAGCGGTTCCCTCTGAGATCGGGGACCCACCCCACGGGGGTACCAAGGTAGGCACAGAGCTTGAAGAGGTGAAGAATCGGGATCAGAGTGTGGAAGTGACTCTCCCGGGGTCACACAGGAAGCTGTTCCCAGCCCCGGGCCACGGAGGCCCACGGCAGGTTCTTGTGGGGGAAGCATTTCCTGAAGAAGCCACCTAGCAGGGGCCACGCACTCACCCGACTGGAGAGCAGGTCAAAGCAGAGTTTGTTCTCACTGGTGCCTAAGTTAATGATGCCCTGGGGATGAGAGGCACAGAAATGAGGGGAGAGGTAGATCCATGTCAGTGGCAATGCTGCACTTGGAAATCTGAACAACATCACACAACACCTGATCCCCACCCCATAAAGCTTTTTTTTTTTCCCCAGACAGTGTCTCACTATATAGTTCAGCCTAGTCTTGAACTCATTATGTACTCTAGAGTAGCTGTGAACTCATAGTGATCCTCCTGCCTCAGCCTCCTGAGTGCTGGGATTACAGGCATGCACCACCACACCTGGCTACCATTCTCCTATGCAAGGTACGATAGGACTCTTCCTTACAGAGCAACTCGGTGCAGGCGTCACACACAGCTCACTCCTGGTAGCTGAGTTACAGGGGCAGCGAAGGGTGGAATAGAAAGTTGAGTGAGCTGAGGTTCTGACCCCTGGTAGGTTCCTCCTCCCACAGCCAAAGCATCTGTGGTCCTGACAGCTCTGCTTTCAAAATACACAGCGCAGCCACTCTCACCCACCGCTGAGATCCTGGTCCAGGCCACCACAGCTCCACTCGCAGCCTACTGCAGTGGCTTCCCCACCGCCTCTCTTGCCCACTGCCTCCCTTATCACCTGATCTCCACAGAGTCCAAGCTGTCCTTTAAAAACTGGAATCAGATCGTACTGCTCCTGTCCCACATGGTCTCAAATGAGAAGGATCCCTTCAGGATCTCTTACCACCCCCGCCTCATGAGCCTGCAGCCCCAGCGGTCCCTTTGTTATCCTGTGAACTCATCCACTATGGTTCCACCCAGGGACCCTTCGCACTTACTGCTCCTTCTGCCTGGCATGGTCTTCCCCGGACAGAACACAGCTCGCTCTTGGTGGAGAGCAGCTTTAGCCAAGTCCCCACTGGTTCTCTCCAATTATTCACCCCCTAGAGCTTGAGCTGCACCTAGTGACTTGCTTCTGATGAACAGAATACCCAGATGTCATGGGACATCCCCTCCGAGGTTAGGTTATAAAAAGGCTGTGGCCCCATGTTGGGGACTCCGTGCCTCTCATTCTCTCTTGGGTCATTTGCCCTGGAAGGAGCCAGCTGCCATGTGTATGGCAGCCTGTGGAGGAGCCCATGCGGCTTCTGGCCACCCAGAAGCCAGATACATCAGAGCCCCAAACCCTCTCCATGCCCTACTCCCCCACCCCCAAACATATCAGATAGGAACTTGGCTTTTGTTCCAGCACCTAAACAGTGCCAAGACAGGATAGATGCTCAGCAAATAAAGACTAAAAAGGTGCAGCTCCCTGACCTGTAAAGGTATTTCTAATTATTGCTTATAACACTGGGGATGGAAAATAAAAGCAGCTACCACTTATTGAGAATCCTATGTAGCAAGCAATGTGCTCATAAAATCATATACTTAATCTCATTTAATCTCAACTCTTCCATAGTGCAGGGCATTCTTATCCTATTCTAGAGATAAACTGAGACTCAAAGAAGTTAAGTAACTAATTCAATAACACATAACCCACAAGTGAAACGGTTGTGGCCCTGAGTTCTACTCCAGATCGAGTTGACAGGGATGTGATTCTGTGGCATGGCACCTGCCTGGCTTGTGCAAGGACCTGGGTTCAGCGCTCAGCACCCCACGCTCACACAAAAGCCAAGTTGAAAAGTTGGCACAGTGGGTCACAACCCATATGTTAGCATTCCATGGCTCTCCAACCCCTCCCTCACAAATCAGGGTCCTATGTTCCAGCACTACTGCAGGGAATAAAGAGTTCCTACCCCGTGCACGATCAGAGCTACATCAGAAGCCTCCTGAGCCCGAGGATGACAACTCCAATCAAACAGGAGTAAACTAGATGTTTCCACGAGGGTCGGCTGAGGTGTCCACCCCACAGTGCCCTCCCAGGTCCCAGTGTGGTGGCGCTTCACTCACACTGGGGTTCCTGTCCTCATCATACTCGTCCCCGTGGTAGGTCCTGTAGCCCTCCTCCGCCGAGTCCCAGAACCATTTGATGACTCTGCCTCTACAGGACAGGCAGGAGATGTCCAAGGAGCACATGGCAATGGGATCCCCCACTCCGTAGAGGCCCGGCAGCTTCCAGTCTGTCTTTCTGGGACATTCTCCTTCTAGGCTGGCCACGTGCTGTGTGGCAGCTGAGCCCAGACGGGCAGCAGGTGCCTCAGATTCCATCGGAGGAAGAGTGAACATCTGCAAAAAGACACCAGCACTCCTTGCTCAAAGGGTTTCCATGGCATCAAGCAACAGAGATGAGAAGGCACAAGGTTCCTGTTCCCTTATTTACCCTTTCCTGGTTCCTGTTTGTTGTTGTTGTTTTGATGTTTTGTTTTGTTCGAGATGGGGTTTCATTATGTTACTCAGGCTGTCCTCAAACCCCTGGGCTCCCTTGATCCCCCTGCCTCAGCCTCACTAATAGCTGAGACTGAGGCAAGCTCTGCCCCGCTGGCTGTCAAATTATCTACATTTCATGTTCATGCTTCCTGTGTTCCTAGTTGCACCCATGTGTGCGACCACTCTCTATTATATGCCAGGGATTGCACCTGCTACACTTAAAAATGACTTAAACGTGTTCCGTTTCTGCAGGATCTTTTCATCGTGCAGCCTAAGAGGTCACCCCTGTTTTTTATTCAACAGTGCTGGCCTCAATTTCCAAAACACAGGTTAAAGCCTGCCCACGAGGTCATTGCCTGGGAGTCCTGGGTGTCCTGCTGCAGTCTGGAGCTCATGGGGACAGGCACTGGGGGGAGGGTGAAGCAGAGATCTCCTGGGGGGGCAGGCGCCCAACGCAAAGCACCCCCACCCCACCTTCAGGCCCAAGGGAGGCCCGGTTCCGTCGCACAGGGGTTGGACCACTCCTCACCGCAAGGGGCAGCAGTGACGCTGCGCGCGAGGAAAAGCACTGGTCACTGGTAACTAGACCAATCCTGGCTCATAGCCATGGTTCAAAAGACTGAGTCATTTTATCTGAAATCCGCGCTGATCTTCCTGTCCCAAAGCACAAGCCTGCACGCGGCAGATGAGCAGTGTAGAACCCAGGCACCCAGGGAGCCCTGCGCCGTTTCATTTTGCTTTGCGAAGTCTTGCGGGGGTCCCCCAACTTGGCGGCCCGTACCCTGTGCTCACCTCGGCTCTGAGCGGGGGCAAAGCGGCCAGGATCCCGGCTCCGAGAGGCCCCAGCGCGATCAGGCCGGAGTCCGGAGGGGCGGGGCCGCCTCGCGAGACAGCTCGGGGTTTGCAGCGTAGGAAGTGTGACCCGCGCCGGGGCCTCAACTGCTAAGGGCGGACACCCGGCCAAGGGCAGCCCCGCCGCTTCCTTCTCTGCAAAGCCCCGTCTCAGCAGCTCAGAGGCAGGCACTGGGACCCG